AGAGTTCCAATGGACAGGAATCGACGTTTAGTCGTGTGAAAGCAGACAACTTCCATTGTATCTTTTATAAATAACTTTTAACCTACATATGTATTTCATAATAAACCTAGAGTATGAATGTATAGTATTCAGAATGTAGGACAAACTGTTTCCTCGAGATGTTTCCGATATCGCTTTATAGCCGGTTGAATATTTTATAAAAGAGTACAACAGTGACAAAATTATTTATAAAATACTCGAACACGATCGTTCGAGAAATGAGAGAAAATCTGACCCAGTATTTGGTCATGTTCAAAAATCATTTTCAGGTAAACGTCACTACGTTGAAGGATTAAAATTCCGTATTGATTATCAGATACCTAAGCACTTCACGCTTTTGCACTGTATGCTCAGTTTACAGCAATCAATTATACACTGACAGGAAGTTCAAACGAACGTTTAGAATCGCGACGATGCACAGTGCGGCATCTAAACGAGGATTCGGGTCAAACATACAAAAATGCATATAATACGCAGTTTTTCTGAAACCTGATATCACGGGATCCGACGTGAGTAAAAGTCTGCTTGTCGGATCTTTGTTGATATTTTCCCTACTGCATGGCTCGGCTGAGATATCTTGAATATTTATTTCTTTGTCTAACCACACACGGTGACGTTTAAGCAAACATTGTCGATGCCGGGAACGATCTTTTCATCCTTTCATACGTGTCATGCAAAAATCATTTATTCTCCTTTCCACTTTGTGCTGATATTTAATAAAGAACAGAGTTTTGCGTAAGTTTAAAAATGTTCTCGGAATAAATGTGGTCAGAAATTCTCTCTTCGACCAAGTCGAGATTACGAATAGATTTCGTGAAAAAAATATACAACATCCAATGTAGCAGTTCGTAGGAGAAAAAAATTCTTTAGCTCCTTGACACAGGACGATCAAAGTTACAGAAATGTTTCAAATCGCTTTTCTCTTTCTAATTGTTTCTTGCAGAAAGAAAGAGACTTCTAAATCGAAAATTAATTACACATAACGAATTAAAATTATACATATTTTTGCTCAAATTCTCAAAAAAGAAAAAAAAGTATCTAATGTGTAACGAAACACTGTTTGACAAGAATTAACAAACAGGACTGTATGACGAATAAGTGAACTAACTTTCGATTTATCAGATTCCGACGTACTAATGATTTCTACTAATCCTCTATCAATCTTGCATGGAATTATCGTCCACGTTTACATTACTTACACACTTCTGATGATCTGATGATCGAGCAACGATCATTTCGATTCTTGTCCACCGCGTGGCGTACTCGATGCGACGAGTCGTAAAGCTCGCAAAAATTCGTCGTCCCGGATCATTCCTACCCGCGAATACGTCGTGACATTCGAAAGAGAGTTGATAACGGGTGGCGAAAAACGTCGACGTGATATCGTGTGACAGAACTCGCTCATCTGCACCGAGTCCAGGCATCGTCGCGAGTCGATCCGCTCGTCTGCGCCTTCTCAAATAATTCGGTTTGCGGGTAAAACGCGCGGGAAATTGCGGCGCGACAAAGCCGGGTCACTGCATCGAGCCTAATCATTCATGCAAATGTGGCTGCAAATATCTCGTTGAGGTTCCGTGTTCGTTGTAGATACCGGCGTAAATCTTGCTGAATAGATCGCGCCAGGATTGGTTTATCTCTCTCTCTCTCTCTCTCTCTCTCCCTTTCTCTCTCTACGTATGGCCAAAACGCTTTGTCGACGATGAAATACCGTAATCTCGGGTGCAATGCGCGAGGAAAATTTGCCCGAACAACGGATCGTCAGCCGTTAATCTATTCTCGGACGACTGTTGCCGCGGTTAAAGCGGCTTCGCGGAATTACACGACAACACGCGGGTGCCACGCGGCAGATACCATGGATTTAATCACGTTGGATGGAAAGAAGCTCGCTTGGACCGGCTTTGTTTTCAGATAAGTATAATAGCAAGAAGCTTTTCCTTCGCTAAATCCAGCGAAATCTATCCTGCTGAGGAAACGTGGTTTCGTGTCTGACCACAAGGCGATCGCATTCAGCAATGCTTTGTTGGTGATTTAAAGTGGTGTTTTAAATTACGGAAATAACGTTTCGGGATATATTCCGTCGTCTGGTAGAAGTGAGTTATTTAAAAGCGATTAAAGCATTGGAAGGAGGCTAAGTACGACACGATCGAAAAATGTAACATTGTACAAGTATATTTAAAATAATTGGATATATTACAGAGTGCTTATTTGATATACGTGTATTATATATATGTATAACAATAAATTCTTCCAAGTTATTAAGATCGTATGAAATATTTTGTCTGCGTTCTTGCACTATCGTATGGTACAGTGAAGGAAACGGCACGTAAAAAGATCAGAATTTTAAATATAACAAGAAGACTTCGAATGGCGAAATTAAATGAGACGTCCTATATTTATTTATGAAAGTAATCGAATAAGGTAATGAGGTAGTATACAGAGTGATTTAATAAGAGTAAAATTCTTTGAATAAAAGATTGTAGCGTGAAAAGACTCAAAGATCATACCGACCTTTTTGTTGGTGGACTAGTTTAGGAGATGCGAAAATCATCTCGTTATTTCTTTGGCCACTATTCTAAGTCTATTCTTTTTTCGCGATATATCAGCTGATAAGTCAACTATTAAGTGCTATGTCATGATAAAAAAGAATGAAAAAGATACTTGATAGCAAAGTCTCGGAAAATCGATTACATAATCAACTTACTTCCTTCAGATGTTACTTAAATAATGGCCAAGCCTGGTGCAATTAATCAAAAGAACGTTAGAATATCGATTATAAATGCCATTTTAATAAAAATGTCCTAAAATAATTATTCACAACATGCAATGCTTCGAAAGTATTAGGTTGTCCGGAAAGTGTCTTTCTTTTGCCAACGTATTTTTTACAACAAACGTGAAACCAAGCCTGTGAAATGTCCCGGTGTTTATCTCAACAGAATAAAAATGTACGTAATTCAACAAAATAATATAAAACAAAAAACATTGTACGTCTATTATTTCCTCATAAAATGAAAGAAACATTTCGGACAACCTAATACTACAGTTTATTTTACACACAAATATATATAAACAGAATAATATAATATATATAAATATATAATGGAGATATGCGAATAGTATAGCAATAAAGATAAAAGATCTGCATCGAACAGCTAACATAAGTTTATACGTATAGTCGTAGAATTTCTGAAATAATCTTACGAGAAAGTTTCTGTACTAGAATAGACAGACATAAATTCTGATGTTTTGTTCTAAACATGCTGGATCCAGGACAACAAGCGCAGAGAAGCGAAAGCTGCGTTACGTAAAGAGTGCGATCTGTTTCAGACTTGCCGGACAACTTTTGGGACGTAAACTTGTATCTGCTCGAAACAAAAACTTCCCTCCTTTCTAAGTTAATAGAAGTTCGTTCAACAGCGGTGCGAGAACGTTGTAATTTCTTGCGTATATTTGCATACATCAGTTTTATTGTTGACACAAAAAATAACGTGATCTTGCGCTGGTTATCTCGTATCGAATTCAAAATTTTTGCGAGATAATCAAGAGAAATATATATTTAGAAAGAAAACATTTTCTTTTGTAAGTTGTATAATGAGAAACTTACAGATTATAATGACAAAAATATACTAAAAATATGTCTCGTTTCGTATTTAGACGAATAATTTGAAATGTATATTTTTTAATTTCAAATATGGACAAAATTTTACAAGGATCCATCCTTGTACGCAACTGTAGCTCTTTACTTTTTTTTCACTGTAATTCTTTAGTTTTTTCCGCAAAAATGTCGCAGTGGGTATTGTTAAATGACTTTAATTCGAAATGCATGAAACCTTTTATTTTAATTACGATTATATCAAATGTGTGTGTTGCTTTCTTATCTTTCACGGTACTGTGTTTACCTCCTTTTGGTACGGTTACTTGATATTTGTGACTATATGAGAATTTATCATATTTTACTGTTTTGAAATTATCGGTAAATAAACAAAAATGTCAATCAATGATACAAGTAGTACGTATACAAGCGATACGTTTCACACAGTACTTTTCATCCGACAGATATTGAATAGATACGTCACAATAACACGACCGTATCATTTACGCGTCGCATTTAGTAAAATAAATGCTTAGTAAACAGTGGATATTTATCATTCGGATCTTTACTACTCAGCCAATCCTAACAAAAACTGCGTATTATACTTCGCAGGCTACATTTTGTTGATAAACACATCATACGTAGAAACAAACGAAACTCGGTAACACCGAAAATAATTTGAACGTACACGTTCGAAATAAAAAAGAAAAATTCATTTTCATAACTTGTATGTTCCAAAATATCGATAATTCGAAATTAACAACATAATATATTATTCAGCAGATAATCGATAACTAAATGACATATTATCCGCGGCAAATGAAATTTTCGCCAGTCACGAAAATTATCAACCTTTATGTTCCAAAGTTATATAGTTCATTGCAGCCAACCATGCGCAATTACCGTAGATACAAATCCAAAAGCACCGACTTTACTCGTTTACAGATATTTCCTTTAACACTACACCCATATCGGCATCTGACTAAAAATTGTGATTATCCAAAGATATCCAGATAAAAATATGTACGAAGCGCATGAGAAGATTAAAGAATTCTAAGTGTATTATCACATATCTATCCAAAGATATATTCACGGTCGTTCACCCTCGTTACTCTTTTCCTATTTTAGCTGGTGAAAAACTCCCCGCTTACCCAACAAACCACACCTCAGTCTCTAATCCCTCGTACAACCCTTACGACAACCTATACACCTTCGCAACCCTGACAACCCCTATCCTCGTCCCTCTTGCAACCACTTGTCGACCAAACGTCCAACGAGAAACGCTCTCCCTTCATTGCCCCTTTGTGTAACCATAGAGTACCGACAAACATAAAATCGTCTCATACAACACAAATATTAAAAAGTTACTCACAGTTGTCGTTCTTCGCCTGGACCAGGCCCTGGCACAATGTCAGTGCCAGAAGCAGGAAGGCGCACGAGCCTCCCGTCAACCACATTCTTCTTCTTATTTTTCGTCACGCGCAGCAGATACATACGAGCGAAGAAATCGAAGCCATAAATCGGAAACGCGACCAAAGTCGCGCGGCAACGACGCACGATCACGAACGACCCGAGAATGTCGAGGGGAAACAAGCGCGAAGGTTAAACGCCGTACGAGAATGAGATACGAATACGCGGACGTAACCTTTCGATGTGAAACGAACACGACGAACCGCACCCCGCGCTGTATTACGCGCGACTGATCGTCACCGGTCGGCGCGATTTTACGCGCGAACCGACTCCGCGGTCGGACGACGCGCATGCGCGCTGCCGTCACTAGAAGGGTGTGGATAGACGGGGGTTGAAAGGATCACGACGTACTACGCCGACACCCACGCTCATTGTAGAGGCAAGTTAATGAGGGAAAAGATACAGGCTGGTTTTACGAGAGTATCGCAATACAGGGTGTGTCCGTGAGGCAGCTCGCGCCACGCACAGTATGTGCAAGGGGGATACGCGTTTCTGTGTGCATAACCGGGTCTGGCCGCTTCGCCCGTTAAATGGAATCGTCGTGCTGTTCCTCATGATTGTCTTGGCCTTTTATGGCCGCCGGAAGGGCTCGATACGCGGACGGCCTAGCACGCCCTTTTATCACGCTCTTTTCCTATGCAAACGTCGATGCTTTTTCGTGGATGAAAGGGCGGAATTTTCGGCGCGTGTGCTTTTGTCTTTGTTGAAAGCTTCCAGTACAGTGGCTACAAGAGGCATTCGTATACTGTTGCATTTATTTATCGTATTTACAGTTAAGGTAAAGACGATTCTTCGTGTAAAACAGTCCTCTTATTGTAGAACATCGTTTAGTAACAACATTCTGAGGAATAAGAGATGTGTAACATATACTTTGGAGCGTCCGGATTAATTTTCAGAGAAAAAGAATGTAATATTAATAAATATCTGGCAAATGGTAAAGATAAAATCCGTATAGTTACCGCTTCGTGAGATAAAATGTACACGGATGTTTTAAAAAATAATCTGCGTCAAAGTGCAGAAGGAAATGGGTTTGAAAGGCAACTCCGACCTGATGAAAGATAGGAGATCCAAAGTATAATGATAGTAATACGCGAGAGTGGTTCTTGTATAATGTTCGGGAACATTTAAAAACAACTTCGCAATCTCATTAACGTTATCGAAAATATACGAGACCATTTGAAACGAAAAATACGGAATCAACATGTTTTCTCGAGAAATAATTTGAAGAGGATTCTTTTAGAAGAATGGACAAATATTTCAAGCAGAATTCTCATCGATTTGATAAATTCAATGCCACTACGGCTTCGAGCCATAATAAAATCAGAAGGAAACCCCATTAAGCATTAATACAATTAAAACTAACGATTTCCTCTCTTAGATATAAAGTAGAAGTCTTATTATTTGTTCTTAGCAAACTGTAACTGTGTGAATACTTATTACGCATATATTTTTGCCATTTTTTAGATATTTGTTAATATCTTCACAAAGGGTATACATATTTCATCTTCTTTTTTATGAAAATTATTCCGCACGCTCGTAAGAATATGTACATATTTTTTATTTTATTAAAATTTTGTTCAAAAACAATGTCTTGCGATATTTCTGTCGATATTAATTACTGTACGAATACTTTTCACACTGACTTTGTACAATAATTAATTAGATACGTATAGTATCTATAAGTATAATAAAAGATACGTATAGTATCTATAGTATCTACAAGTATAATAAAATATTATTTACATTCGTATCGTTTAGTAGTAGAACAACTCATACGTTCACAAAATTTGATACTACGGAAATAAAATGTAGAATCTAATAGAAAAAAATTTTCGTTGGAGAGCAGAGGTACGTACAAATGCATTCTGTGGCCATTGTACGCGTCAGCGTTACTTTAATTAGGTACTTGTTGGTTCACATCTCTGTTCGTTAGTATCGGGAGTTTTCGAGATTCTTAGGAAGTTTACACTAATAGATACTGATCATTTGCGGAGCAAGGAGATGTTAATTTTGTTGTGTAGCGAATAATGAAATAAATAAAACAGAAAATAGAATAGAATAAATACAACAGATAATAGGATTTTGATGAATACATTCGTATTACAACTGTTGAAACTACAAACCGCGATGAAACATGGGAATAATAATGTAAATTTGATTCAATTTTTAATTGCGTTTTGTTCACCTATTTTCCCGAGAGTTCCATAATGTATAATTTGCCTTACCACGATAAATAGTAATTATTCTAACGAGAATTTCATTGAAACATCTGTCTTCTATCATTTATCTTCTGAAAAATTGTACGAGCTTACGATATTTATTTCATTAGGAAGAATAAATAATATTAACATTAACGTTTAAGAGTGCGTAGATATGTGTGTAAATATGGCGAATATATGTACATAATATAGACACATAATTGGGAAGAATAAAATATAACTTGTAATCATTATTTGCTCGAAACTAGTCATTTTTTCTAGTCATCTTCTTTTGAGAAGCATCATGATGAAACGTAACTGTAAGAGTTCATAAAACATCGACATATACAAAACAACAAGAACGATAATTTTTTCCAATAATTATTTTAATTAATGCGTATCTCACGACAGCAATTTATTTTTCAAACTGTCATCAACCTGTCAAAAACTGCGTGAAATTTCAACAGAATAGAGCGTGAAATCGATTTAATAAAAATACACGGGAATTAAGGGACATCCTTTGCTACGGTCCTGTCCATTCCGATCGCAATTTTTCCCCGATAACCGAATACAAAACAGAAATAAATAGATAGAATTGGCAAAAAAAAATATGTGTAACGCTCGTACTTGCACGAACTTGCACGAACATTTAAAAAACGATAGTTGTTTGAAAAAACTTTTTTCTGCGTGAGTTTGACATTTGCGTTGGTTTCGCTGCCTGTGTGTAACTGCATCCACAGTTTGCGTGCGAATGAGAGGAAAATAAAAATGTGGGACAATATCGTTGAAAAATAACGGACAACAAAAGTAATTACGATGATGTTGTAAAAAAAAACCGCTATACGAAAATATTCTACGATGCTATATTTTTCGACGGCGTACAATCGCACAAACACGTGCGACAGTAACTTTGAACATGACGTTCGTAACGAGACGCGCATTAACCGCGATCTAACTGAAACAAAATGAATCTCGAAGTATTGTATTACCAACATGAAATAATCTCCGAGAATATAACGTCGCAATGGAAAACTTTCTGGGCACACTGGACGGTAAATAACGTTGGGAACACGCAAAAGTAACTGTTTAATCAAGGAGATGTTGAAATTTTAGAAATTGAAAAATGAAACGAAACGAACATTACTTCGCATAGCTACGCAGGAAACCATCCTTTTTTCTATTTAGTTCATTCTTCATCCGGTATATAAATATTTTAAAACAGTAGAAAATGGGGCAATAACATTGTCTTCGTAAAATATCTCCACTTTCTTCCATAAATGTTTGTATTTATGTAAATTATACGATATATGCAGAAAATACTAACACACATACGCACCGGTAGTAATTCTTTCGTGGTCGAAGGCGCATTGTTAATTTTCAACTACTTTTACCTTTCCCCTTGTACCTTTTCCATATTGTACTATATGTACCTTTTCAAATATTTCCTTATCCATGATATAGTAATGGGCGTTTATCACCGCTGTAACTCGTTATACTTCAGAAACGTCACTTCCTACAAATTTCGAAGTCCTACCTAATTATAATTTTCACACCACGTGTATTATAACGACACGCAATATCGTACAACTACGAGCGAATGAACTTGAATGAAAGCTCGTTATGCGGGCGTTGCATTAAGTTATTAGACATAAACGCCTAACATTGTGCAGCCAGAATTCAGTACGCAAATTAAGAGGGTTGGTTAGCCAATTTGCGAGACAATTGCAACCGTCATCAACGGCGCTTTTCACTCAGCGAACACCTAATTTCGTGGACAGAAATCTGCTAACGCCGTGGCCGGTCACCCGTCAACCTCATACAGCCCGTGTATAATAGTGGTCGTGGTGACGAAAAAACCCGGTGAACGAAGTGTCTCTCCGCCTAACGTGAAACTTCGTGTCCATCGGCCAGAGGATTTTAAATTCTTCACGGCCACTGACGAAGCGACATCGAAGACGACCGTGTAGCCCACGAGACGAGCGGAATTGCAAATCTTCGTCGCGGAACTTGCCGTCCTCCCTGCAGGAAATGCTTCAAAGAAATGTTGCGGATTCGACTGCAGAGAGTAACCCTAATACGCTTTTCCGTGCTGCAGAATTGGAAACACGACTAGCGAAACGGCATAGAGACGAGCACAGCTCTCTATCGCGCATCGTCACGCGTTGCTATTGTCGTCTTATTTGTATAACTACATTTGTTGGAAAGAAACTGCAGTTGATGCCCGATTCACCGAATTCTGCTGATGAAATTGAGCCATGTCGTGCCATTTCATTTAAAAAGAAAAAGCTAGCTTCATTTCTATCAGGAACATCTATTTCTTCGTGTTGTTTCTGGCAAAAGTATTTATAACGTTAGTATATTTGTCACTAGTAACTTTCTTTAGATTTATTATTTCAAGAGATTTATTTTGATTTATTATTTTTCAGCTCTATTGTTTTTTCTCTTTTTTTTTTTTTTTTTTTTTT